GGCCGTAACAGTTTTTAAAAGTTGGTAATATCAGTTGTCCTTTTGTAACAGATCTAGTTGAATGACCACTTCCAGAATTTGATTTGGGCAGCATTTTGTAAGAAATACGTGTTTTAATATCGGCTGACAATCAGATGAAAACACAAATGGTAAATAAACTGATCTGCGATAGAAATAAATGTCATACAACACCAGAATTCTGGATCTGAGTGAGGTTTATTTGTCACCGGATTGACAAGCCAAACCACACTGAATGAAAAACAGGAAGTCCCTGTTAAATACAGTCCAGGAATCTTCAATGCCTGAGTTCACCCTCTGCTGGCCTACGGCTGAATCACAGGCATTCAGACAAAAAACCTCATGCTTATGTTATCCCAGCTTTTAATTATGTGTTGTTAATAATTCGGACATGTATCTACTCTATTTCAATTAAAACAAATAGATCAAACATTATAAAAGTATTATAATAAGAAACCCCTACTACTCTGGTGTTGTTTCTGAAATCAGTACTGATCTGTAATAATTATAAATTTCTTCAATTTGACTCATAGTACAATCCAACATGTCTCATTTGAATATTTGTACTCATTTACATATGTCCAAACTGTACACTTGTCTAAAACACTCTAATTTCAACACATGGATATCACTCTGGGCTCAAATTAAAGATATAACCCCCACAAAACACATTCTACCATCCATATTTAATAACAGCATGATTAAATTAAATATATATATTAATATGCCTAAATATTTAGACCAAAACTGTACTTTCAGCCAAATTTCCACCAATACCCAGCCAAACCACAAGAATAAACAATATATCCTTATATCTGTCATAGTATTAACATTCCACACAGCTTATAAAACCACCAGCAGCGAAAAAAAATATTTGTTTTTTACTGACATTTGATGCATATTTGTGGAGAAGGTGTTATCTGTGGAATCAAAGTGGGCGTGTCACAAGAGTGGGCGTGTCTAAAGCATAAACACTGTGGGCTACGAGACCTACATGACGGTATCCTTAGACCCTGCTTGATCTCTTTACAGCCTGACCCTGACCCCAACACTAAGGTTAACCAGGACAAATGTGACCCAAGTAGGGGTCTCCAGAAAAAGTGGTGCCGTCCCCTTTTGTTCTTGTCCAATCAGGTGGTGCCGTACRKT